AAGAAAGAAAGAAAGAAAGAAAGAAAGAAAGAAAGAAAGAAAGAAAGTGGTCCAGTAAGTACCACATAGTACCAAATACTGCCAAAAGATTTAGACAAGCAGAGTCAAGTGATCTGAAGATGAAAAATATGATTTCAATTGTATATCCAGGTGTAAATCCTGATTGCAACAAGTTTAGGCAACAGCTTTTTCTAAGCTCTTTGTAAATGTTACCCTACTGAAACAGCAGCAAAGGAAAGGATAAAAAAGAATGCTGCAGCTTGTAATTCAGCAACATTTGGCCATGGTTTCATCGCTCTGAACTAGGGAAAAAGAATTTTATAAGACTAATTTAAACCATTATTCTCAAATTAATAAGCGGACTAGAGCACAACTAGCTGTTTGCAAGGAAAATTAATTCAATTATTTTGTATCATTGTTGATTAAAAAAAAACACAGATGCACACTGTATGTTTTGGGAAGAAATACACGCAAACAGTGCATACTTATTAGAATAAATGAATACATGCTTTGGCTTGCATATTCTTCCCCCCACAATTAACAGATGAGGAAAAATAATAAACACAAGATTTAAAATCTCTTCCTTCGCACCTTAAAAGGAAAGTGAGAATGAGGATAACTCACAGCCTTAGAGTTGTTCAACCACGGTATGTAATTCTAACAATTAGTATAGGTTTGAATTGGACAACTGTCTAGATTGTTTTATAGTAGAAATCCAGTAGCCTAACAAAAGGTACTCGAATTATTTTGATTACTTTGGGAAAGCAAAAAAAAAAGCTTATTTCAAAAATATAATAGAAATTTCAGAATTAGTTAGTAAATAGGTCCTTACCTTCAGAGATGCTAGAATCATGAAACATGGTTTCAAAAGCTTGGTGAGTTTCAGCAAATGAAGGTCTATCTAGGGGACTCCATTTCCAGCCTACAATGTAATAAAAAGCAGCAGGGAATTACTATCTCCATTAGAGTTAGCAATCTAATTCCCACTATTCTGGAGCGAAAGTGTCTTCCACTGTAACACTGGCAATATTTTTAAGATTCTTATCATGGTTTATTGCATTCTATTTTCAAATATCTTAAAATTACTGCCAACGTTTCTGAATGTAAGAAGTACCCTGATATAGCTGTGTATTCTGGTATTCCCTTTCTAATATTGATCAGCCAGATAAAGGGCCTAAAACTAAAAAATCTTCTTTATCTTCAATGTCTGGTATTCATGATGGTGAAGGTCCCATTTATTTATGATGAATAACAGTTACCCATTCTCCACATATTTGGTTAAACTCAAGTAAGCTGCTGGCCAGAACAATGCTGAACTGCTACACGACAAATAAATATGCCTTTATTTACTTTGACTCCTCACAAATTTCTTCTAATAGCAGCAAATAGGTAATTGAAAAATTTTAGAACTCTCAAATACCATTTATAACCTAATTAAACGCAACTTTTTGGTCTTTTTTTCTGACCAAAATAATCCAGATTCTTTAACTTGACCTTTTTCCCATTTGTAGAGTATGATATTTAACTTCCCAGCTGGCTTGTTGCTGTTTTTAGTGCTCTTATTTTATCTAGTTAGTTTTTTAAGGTAGACCTTGGGATTATCATTCCTTTCTACTTCAAAAGTTGTATTTATTCCACTTAATATCTTGAATAAATATTTCTGAAAATTTCAGCTGGCACAGATCATTGCATGAAATACAGGTAGTCCTTGACTTACCACCACAACTGATCTCAAAATTTTGGTGGCTAAGTGAGTTTTGCCTCATTTTACGACCTTTCTTTCCACAGTTGTTAAGTAAATCACAGTACAATTTTTAAGTTAGTACCATAGTTGTTAAGTGAGTCTGGCTTTCCCATTGTCAGAAGATCACAAAAAGTGGGGCACTGGAACCATCCATAAATATCTGAATTCTGATCACATGACCTCGGGGATGCGTCAAAGGTCGTTAACTGTGAAAAATGGTCATAAGTCACTTTTTTTCAGTGCTGTTGTAACTTTGAACAGTAAATGAATTGTTGTAAGTCGACGACTACCTGTAGATCTATAAAATTGATAATGCTTATTTTTTTAACTTCCAGGTCTACTTCAAAGCATTGATTTTTAACAGAAAATTTCTTAATGGATTGACATATTTAGAATGGCATGTTATATATTTCCAGCACCCAGAATCGCTTTAACAATGAGATGGGTGGTGTATAAATCTAATAAATAAATAAAATGAAATGTCTGCATATTAATCCAAGGAGTGACCCAGATTTCTTTACCATTTAAAGTAGGATTAAAAATTGGGCACCTGGATTGTGTGGAATATTTTCCCAATTCTAAAACCTTTTAAATACTAAATTAAAATCTGCTTTTAATATAGGCTGAGGCTATTTTTTTAAAAAAAAATTCTAGTTTTTACACTGGGGCTGCTACTCTCCTTTGACTATGGTGCAGTTTTAATTTTAATAGTTCATGCTTGTTTTTGTGTGTTTTGCTATTTATTAGTTCTTTAAATTTTGTAGTCACATTTTGACATTCAAATTAAATTTGCCTGTAAAATAAAAATCAGAGCATTGTACTCACATGCTCTCATAAGTTCATAGACCTTTGGCGGGCAACCTTCAGGTTGTTCCATCCTGTAACCTTTCTCCAACAGATCATAAACTTGAGAAAGGTCAATGCCGGGATAGGGGGACATTCCATAAGTGGCAATCTCCCACAGCAAAACTCCAAAAGCTGCAAATTAAGCAAGAATGTTTAAAGCTGCATTGTTTAAACGACACTGACTGTTCTTACTAAGGTATATTGAACTTCTTAACTAAAGAAAGACTATCCGGAGAATATAAAAATAGTCCCGTGTAACTTTATAGTCCTGATCTACTTACATAAAAGAACTCTGTACTAAAAGGGTTTTTTCTCTCTTACCCCAAACATCTGATTTGATTGAAAATGTGTTGTAGGCCAAACTTTCCGGTGCTGTCCATTTGATAGGAAACTTTGCTCCAGCATGAGCTGTATAGGTATCACCCGTCATCAGTCTGCTTAATCCAAAGTCAGCTACTTTCACCACATGATTTTCTCCCACCAAACAATTCCGAGCTGCTAGATCCCTATCAAAGCAAAAAGACAAGAAAATTAGCACTCCTACTTTATTCATTTATTTGTATCCCGTCTTTATTATTTTTAGAAATAATTCAAGGCCGCGAACATATCCATTGTATCTTCCTCTTTCTATATTCCCCACAAATATCCTGAAAGGTATGACTGGTCCACACCAGGATGCTAGAGGAGGCATACAAATATTTTAAGATTGGATTCATGGAGCTAAATTGGAAATGGTTGAATAATGACTTCTGAGAATCCACAATTTTGGAACTGTGAGTATCTACAATAAATACAATGTATTTCTTTAATAAAACATTCATTTAGGAGTCCTAGGCATCAAGGAGAGAACCAAGATCACCCACAAGCGTTCTTTACAGAGACTCCTTGTGAGACCATAAAACAGTCTTTTGGTGGGTTTCAGAGACCTGGAAGCCAAAAGAAACTCAGCTTTGCCCAAGCCACAGTTCACAGCCTTCAAACAGACACTGAATTCACACGTTGCTTCTTAATCATTTCAGGAAATGCCTTTGTTAACTCTTTTAGGAAACTAAGAAATTTCAGAATGACACTTTTCAACTTACTGTGTGATTTTCCTTCAATGCTTAGCAAAAGAAATTTTATGTAAATTTAAGAATTTGAAGAAATGTTTTTTATTTTGAAGTAAAAAGCGAAAGTCTGAATAGAACGTTGATTTTAGAAAATTACAAACACACCAAGGAACCAGATTAATTAGCATTAAGATTGAGAAGCTAATTATAAAAATCCTTACGAATTGTTTAAAATCCTAGCCTAATATATGAAAATGTTGAGAATGTAATAGATAAGCATTGGCCTAGAAACCAGGAGATGATGCATTCTAATCTTGCCTTAGGCATGAAATCAGTTGGGTAACCTTGGGCTAGTCCCTCTCTCTCAGCCCTAGGAGGGAAGCAATGGGAAACCACTTCTGAAACTACAAGTCAGCCTTGACTCAAAGGCACAAAAACAAATAAACAAATCCTAATTGGCTATCCAGGCAGGAAATTTGAATTTCCAAGCAAAGTTGGAGCTTGTTTTGATAATGTTCTTAGGCATGTCAGCAGGTTCCATACACAATTTCAACCAGATCAGACCCACACTACATAAAACCAGGACAGAATAATTTGGATGATTTTACCAAATTTTACCTCTGAGCAACTTTATCTTCTAATCTAGACCATACTAGGAATACTTGATATTAGTAAGAACACACAATGCAGATCTAGAGATTATGGGGATGGCAGAATAAACTATTGCTTTTGTTCTAAAAATGGGAAAGACTATGTCTATTGTTCCTGCTCATGAGCAGGATGCTTCGTTTCCCTAGCATCTTTAGAAAAATGTTGAGTATAGGATCTATTCTCTCCTGCTGCAAATACTGCCAGCTTCCACACATTCAATGAACCCTTTATAAACTATCATGATGGAAAGGAGACGCTGGCATCTCCAGCCAATTTTTAATTCATGTAGCTTTTTATTGAGGCACTCTAAATCACCCTTGGCAATTCCTGTAGTTCTTGTCGAGAGGTTTTTTATGCACACAAGGAACTCAGTGTTTAGTGGCAATATGGTTCTGTAATGGAAGAAGCACAAACTCACAAGAATAACTCAAGTAAGTATTTATTGACAGACATTCCTAGCAAAATAACATCCATCAGGTCAGAAAGAGTTAAAAATGAGTAAAGAACAACAAAGAGAGAAGAAATCCCCACAGAAAGTATGAATAAAAATAAGCCAATGAAACGGAACCCTGAAAGAATTAGGAAAGACAAGAGGATTTTCTTTTTATGCAACATGTAAATTTAGTATTTGAATTTGCTATCAAGAGATGGCACAGGCTACCAGCTTGACTCACTTTAAAAAAAAAAACCTGGACCAATTCATGGAAATCATGGGATCAATAGTTATTAGGCTTGACAGTAGTGTGACTGCCTTTAAAGGCCATCTGTGGGGAAACTAGTAGACTTCATTGTGCAGTCAACTGACCACTGTGAGAACAGACTGCTAGACTAGATGAGCCAGGGATCTGATCCAGCAAGGCACTATTTATATATTTATTCCTTGGATACATACCACCTTGGTAAGTGTTGACTGTGTTCCCTTTAGGATCTTACCTTTATGTCCTCTCTGACCATTCTTTAAAAAGCCTTTCCTTATGTCCTATCTTTCATGATCCTTAAATATAGCACTGGTTGGGCTTTTGATTCACTTAACCATAAAGCTGTTCCCGTAAATGGTGTCCTATTTATCTTGAACTGAAACTGGGTGCTGTTGCTGTAGGAAAACTTGTATCTGATGGGAAAGTAAAAGCTAGCCTATGTTAATTCTATGGATACCTTCAGGTCACCTGGTATGAGTGCCAGATCATCATTTGATCAATCTATATAGGTTTAACTCTGCTGTCCAATCTCTGTTTATCTTGGAAACAATTAATAAAAATCAAGAAGGTTCCTGAAAACAGTTCTTAAAATGGTACTTGCTTTATACCACTAATGCTTATTAAACGCTTGATGCATTGGGGAGGACAGAAATCTGTCTCCGTTTCTCAGAAGTTATAACAGTTGTTCTCAGCACATGACTGCTAGTTGGGTTGGCCTCCTAGATACGACAGAATTTCTGGAAGCAGTCTTCCAAACAGATCTTTTTCATGTCATATTGAAGGTCATTTGATCTCATTGAGACTGGAAGAGTATGTTTCAGTTTTTGCCCAGCACAGGTTCAGCAGGAATGCTAATGCTTGTCCTCTGTATGAAAAGCAAGTCTCTGTTGAAAATGTTGGACCATTTCTCTGTCCCCTGTAATTTTAAAGAATTATGGGCAAGATCTTTCTCTTGCTCAAAAACAGGGAATATGGGGATTTGCCAAATAGGTTTTCTTCCTGGAAGATTTTGGAAGCAAGGCTAGCTTTGGACAGATGGTCCACCTCCCAGATTTAAGCAATAATCCCAGTGAATTGTCCTGCCCTACATTTTGGCTGTTGCAACCTGGAGGTCATCCACAGAAGATGAGCCATGAACTCAGAAACACTTGCCAGCTTATTCAGGCCCTTTCTCAAGTGCTTTACATCTGCTGGGAAATCTTGTGGCAAAAATCAGCCCCACAGCGTCAATGAATCATCACTACTTTATTATGGCTATTGATGGGGGTGTTTGCTATTTTTAAAGTCAGTTCCAGTGACTTCTTCAGAAAAGAATAGAAAGGAAGTTTTTTTCACAATCATATAATTTAATCTGAGATCATATTAATAGTTACCTGTCAGATCTATTATTCTGATACTCAAGAATCTTCTCATTGTCAATGGAACTAGTTTACATGAATGTACTCCTGTAGAGTGTGTACAAGGGGATAGTGTATGGAAAGCATATGGCTCTCCTAGGTCTTTGGTGCAGCTCCTACAATGTATTCCAAATTTACTTTTTTTTAAATAAAATTTTATTTGTGTTTTCACCAAAAAAAAATAAAAATCTTTTTTTAGCAAACAGCATGGTTCCAGGTTTTCATATCTCCATACAGATATAATCTCAGTTACATATTCATCTTTCATATTCAATTTCATATCTTATCATTACTTTATATATTCTCTATTGATTTTTTCTCAAATACTTCCCTCAGGCTTATTTTATAGTTTTCTCATTCATTTCTCATTCATTTCCTTTTCAAATTTTTCATATCTTCATAATAATTATACTTGTACTTTTTTCTGTCCTGTTTACAATTTCATTGCATATTCTTATTTCATCATTTCCCAAAAAATTCCTCCACATTTCAAACATTACAAAACAAGGTTTTCCCCTATGGTTGCCAATTAGAATGTGTCACCTTCATATCTTCTAATTAGTTCCCTTTCAAATCCCATTAAACATTCAACTTTTAAATTGTCCCCTTAAACAATTATAACATTCAGCTCCTAACAACTATATTATAATATATATCCCTTTTCAGTCGGATTCCGCATGGTACTTTTCCCTTAAGTTACTTCCAATACACTTTAAATTTCAAAGAAAAAAGGTAAATAAAATAATTAATCTATTCAAATTCATACTAGAAACTGATATTGATCTCATTACAATCATTCTCATTCTTTTCAATTATATTTTATAAGTCATTAAATATAATTAATATTCATATTTTCATACCACTTTTAATCTTATAATCTTCTTACAACAATCCTCATAATTCATTTCAATTAAATTCCATATATGAACTAATATATTTCCCATTTCCTTTGTTTCACCTTTATTCCATTTATCTCTATATTTGATTTGGCTGTTAGCAAACATTCCAATAATTAACAATACCAGTTTCATCTTCCACTTTAATAACATATATCTTCCTATTTTCTACATAGTTTATGATTTCTAATATATTTATACTATCCCTTGTCACCTTGCAGAATCCTCTCTTAAGTTTTGTTTTTAACCGTTTTCTCTGTGTCTTTTAAACCAACTATTTCATTTTATTCTTGTTCATTTCCCATGTTTCTTTATTTCCCGATTATGTTTCTTGTAACTTCTTTTCCCCTTTATTTCCCCGCTCTTTTTCTCACATCAGTTTTTGTCCCCCTCCACTTCCTTCTGTAATCCTCCCTTCTGCTTCTTGCTTATATTTTGTTTACTTTTCGAACTGTTCTCTTTTCTAATTACCTCCTCTAATCTCCAATTTTTAATTCCCCTTTTTTCCTCTTTTCGCTTCAACTCACGTTGCCCCATTTGTTTGCTAAAGATGGACTCTTCTTTAATATTCCAAATTTACTTCTGAACTGCTAATGGTTCAGAAGAGAAAAAATATTAAATGTGAGGTCACTGCATGAGTTATATTTAATTCCATTTAAAATTAATTCCATTTAAAAGATACTAAGATTTTATTCTGATTCTCATTCAATTGGCAGATGAATCTTATTATGTCAAGGTCACAATGGATTCTGAATTCCTACACTAATTAAGAACTTTTTTATTGTCTAGTATCCCTAACTTGATAACATTAAAGCACTATACTGAAATTGTTTACTTTTTAGTATTTCATGTTTATGTCAAAAACTTGCACCTAAATTTTCATTTCACATGGAAGTTTGAATTTTAATAATATACTGAGTATAGCAATACATCCTTCTGAGTATTAATGCTTTCTTCTTTGAAATTGAAGCTGGGAGCTAGTAAATGTAGAGTATTTGTTTGATTCTGCATAAAATACTTTTTATCCAAAATTCATGTTCTTGCCTGTATCAACAGAATAACAATTCTGATGATAGAAAATCGAGCCCAATTCTGATGACAGAATACTCTAGCCCAACAAAATACTATATCCATGATAGAAGTAAATTCAGAATATAAAATGTAGTCTTTAAAGATTCGTAAAACACTTATACAGTCAAGATAAGGGGCGTGGTGGCTCAGTAGTTAAATACAACTGAGCTTGTCAGTTGGAAAGTTGACAGCTTAGGTTAGAGACCCAATGTGGTGAGCTCCCATGCTTGGCACAGCTCCTGCCTCCATTTTGAAAGCGTAGATAGATAGGTACTACTTTGGTGGGAAGGTAACAGAGTTCTGTGCTTCTCAGCATATAATCACGTTGGCCACATGACCATGGAGGTGTCTTTGAACAACACTGGTTCCCTCGGCTAAGAAATGGAGATGAGCATTGCTCCCTTAGAGTCAGAAACAACTGGACAGAGGAAACTTTACCTTTACCTTACAATCAAGATGAGACACATTTGGGGCAAAACATATACATAGGTATCTGAGCTTTCAAATATATAATATATTATGTTATCAGCTTTTTTTCAAAAGCCATGGGAAAGAAATTTGCTATTTGTCCTCAAATTAAAAAAATGATAAAACTAGGGAAAGATCCCTGAGATTTCCTTCAATTCAAATTAGCTTGGAATAAGTCAGATCAATCAAATCCTATTACATCTTCACCTTCAAGATAATGCACTGCAATTCATAGATACATTCTTACATTCCTGCTTCACTGAATGTCAAGGTTTCCTGCTGACCTGTGAATGAAATTCTTCTTCTCCAGGTACTCCATGGCAGAAGATATTTGGGTGGCCATGTACAGCAAGACAACAGCAGTCACTTCTTCCCGATTGCACTCTCGTAGGTAGTCCAGCAGGTTCCCATAGGGCATATATTCGGTTACTATATAAAAAGGGGGTTCTAGGGTGCAAACACCTGAAGAAACATAGGAGAGCTGGTAAACCCTTATGCACCTACGATTTTGCAGTAAAATCTAATCAGTAATTGTCAAAAGTGGTAGCACTGCATTCTACATTAAAATAAATGAGGGAAAGATTTATTTCCCACAATTAAAGAAATCCATTTTTAATGGTTTTTTTAAAATTCTCTAGCAAATACTACAAAGATTTCTACACAGATAATTTTGACACAACAGAATTTACACAAGATCAAAGAGAGAGAGAGAGAGATTATTAACAGTACCCCAAAAGCCCCAGCCCTGCAATGTGAAACCTCATTGCTACAATGCAGTGAAAAGTCACACCGCTATGGCATAGCAAGATCATGACAATTACGCCAAAAAAGGTGGATAGAGAGGAAAGTCAGCAAGATGTAGTGGCGGGGGTGGGGTGGGGGTGGGGGGAGATAGGGAGTCATAAATGAAGCGGGCCCAAATCTTTATCATATGACTGTGGTGAATTGGTCATAACTTTGAGGACCAGTTATAAGTCCATTTTAATGTCACTGTAATTTTGAACAGTTGCTAAACAAATGAATGCTAAGTAACAACCTGTAATTACATATGGTCCTCGGTTTAATTAAAAAAAAACCTACTTCAAGAGTTCATTTTCTATTTCTGCAATAGAAGGAATCTCTCCCCCATAACTTAGTACTTAGATATTAACAAAACAAAACAAAACAGCAAGAAAGATGTATAGAAAAAACTGTTTGCCATCAAAATTAAGCAACACACCATACTGCTTTATTTTAATGACAAATTTGTTAGCAAAAAGACATTCCCATCAATGCCACTAATGTGGATAACACGTGACCCAGCCCTGATACACATGAAGCAGTGGCAATTGTTTCCCCATTAGCAAGGTGAGTCTATATTCTGGAAACCATAATAATATTTCTAGTTTTTATGGTTATGAAGAAAATGGGAATATATATTGCAATAAAAGAGATTATTTCTTGAGAACAAAAAGAGAGAAAAGATTACACCAAATTTTGGACTGGGAATGAGGGTTGCAATTGGTTGAAGTTTGGAGGTTTTGTTTGCTTTAACCGTGGTTCTGAATCTATTTTTTAAAAAGCCACTGCTTTTAGGCATTTGCAGACTAAGAGATTAATTTCAAGCTTGAAAAATATCAAGATGGCCTTGACTGCCAATTCCATCTCTGCAACCACTTTCAACACATTTGCACAGGTTCATAGATTTAGAGAAAATCAACAATCACAGATTCATTCATTCACATAAAATATAGACAAAACAAAAACTGCAAGATTGCGGTGGGATGTCATTTACTTTAAGCAGATGTAGTCTTTTCTAATAATATATCAAGTGGGTGGAAAGCTGGAGAGAAAACTCTCATGCCTAATGAGCAAGTTCAACAAATACAATTTCATCAGAGGAAAGCTTTCCATATTTAAAGCTTTGTTCAAACTGGTCCAAAGTAAGTAAAACTTAAATACTATACCTCAACTGTTTGATGTATGCAGTTAAAATGGAAACAAATATATACTTAAAACAAAAAGAGCAGTGTGATTAGATTTGTATACTCACCTAATAATTGTACTAGATTTGGATGCTTGATTTCCTTCATGACAGAAGCTTCTTTCAAGAACTCTTCTACCTCCATAGTATCTTCCTGGAAGTTTGATAAGACATGCCTCCTCTTAATAACCGCAATTAATTTACACAGAAATTTGGGAGCCTATGCCTTAATACAAGGGGGGCAAATGACAGACCAAGGTACATATCCAATTTCCCAGTTCTTTTTTTCCTTGTTCCCAACCCAACCATAATATACAGGAAAGTAGGAGCATACAATGGAAAGATCATGTTCAGGAGATCAACACTTCTGCAATCATGACTTTCTAAATCTTTCTAAATTGAAAAAGGTCTATCTACTGGTCGCACTGTATTTCCAAAAGTAACCAGCCAGTAGTCTCTGTATCTACTCCCAAAAAGGTATTTTCAGGTACATCATCTCTTAAATTACATTAAATATTTCAGAAAGTAATACTTTAGTTACAAACATCTGAGCTTTTCCAATGGATTGATAATACCTCAAGCGAATGATGGAACATCTTTTCACTTGAAAGTACATCTTTTGGAAGGTTAATCTCTGCAGGAAAGAGAATACTTATTCTCTACAGAGAATAAGTCTGTGAACTGTAGCAAGATAGACACAAAGCACTATAGCAAAACTGAGATGCTGAATCCACGTTTCTGACAGTATGTTTTGTATATATGTATATGCAGAGTGGTTGTCCTAACCAAGAATTTGAAATTTCCAGCTTACAGAAAGAAGGAAAATGTCAGACAGTTTTAATAGGCACCATTTTTTAAATGTGCAGAAGAAGAGCATCTCTATTTGTACAGGTAATCCTCAACTTAAGACCAAAACGGAGTCTGGAACTTCCATTACTAAGCAACATGGTCATTAAGTGAATTGTGCCCAATTTTATTATGTATTTTCCATGGTTGTTAAGCAAATCTGGCTTCTCCCGTTGGCTTTGTTTGTCAGAAATTGGCTTGGGAAGGTTATAAATGGTGACCATGAGATGCCAAAATGCTGTAATTACCACAAATGCATCTTGATTGCGAAGCCCCTGAATCACAATCACATGACCACAGGGATGTTATGATAAATGCAAGGACTAGTTGCAAGTCACTTTTTTCAGCACTACTGTAACTTCAAACAATCCCTTCATGAATGATTTAAAGCTCAGGACTACCTTTAAAAATCTGCCAGTATTAAACAGCCCAAGTTCACAAGGTTTGTGCTTTTGTAGCCACAAACCTTTGATATTCATGACCTCAGCAAGCAGACAAGTACTCTAGGCCTAGCAGTATACACATCAGATGCATTTCAATAACACCACAATGCTCCCATGACTGCAATCGTACCTTGAGTGTTTTCACTGCAACTGTAAGGTTATATTTCTTCCATACCCCAACATACACTTCACCATATTGTCCTCCCCCGAGTTTGTGCTTCATGGTGATATCTGTTCTTTCCATCTCCCATTTGTCATGGATGGGTGACACTCCATAGACTGTGGGCTTATTGCACTTGGGTGCTGGGTAGTGCAAAGTTGTTACAAGGCCATCAGCTACTGTTGAGTGGTGGTGAACTAGTTCTGCCAATGTGTTAAAGCGACTTTCAGCTGTCACATATACCTGTTAAAGAGGAAATGAAGACCTTACATAAACTGGTCAATATGCAACATGAAAACATAAGCAAGTGAGAAAAAAAATCCCTCTTCTCTCCAAATCATTTTCCTGAAACAAAATAATCAATGGTTTATGAAAAGAAAACAAAGCCTTATGAAATATTCTGACTATTAAGAGATAGGCCTTATTCGTGAGATTATTCTCTCAGCACAGAAAATACGGAGGAAGCAAAGACAAAGATGAAAACTTGCAATAAGAATTGGAGAAGAAAAGATTTTAAAGGCCCCGGGAATCTTTTGATTTTTGTCAGCAGCCAACCTATCATCTTCTTTCCTGTAAAAGAGAGGAAACAGGGCTATATGTAGACAAGAAATATAGACAAGAGTGATTTATGGGAAAGATAGTGGACTGAAGATGGCTCTGAAAAAAGTGAGGCCAACATTTGCAGCCATTGGTAGGGGCCAATGAGTAGATTGGCCTACAGTCTTCTTTGGATAAAGCGAGAGAACAAGATTGAACAAAGTTGTTCTCCTTATGAATGCTCCTCATGAGGAAACTACAAGATAGTTGTCTCTGAAAAGGGTGTGTGTATGTGTTTTATATATGTTAATTAAGAGAAGATGAAGAGATTGTGATGAGGATAGGAAGTTGCTTTATTGGAGGGCTTCTTTTTCCTTTTTGCACTTTTTTTCTTATTTTAGTCTGTATTATTTTTTATTGCATCTAAAACTTAATAAAATTATTACAAAAAATAGAAACAAATATTTCTCTTTTAAACTTTTTGTTTTCTCTTTTGGTGAATGCATGTATACCTCAATACTTTAAAGTTATAATCTAATTCTTGAGCGGAAAGCTTCCAACCATTGGGCTTAATTCAAGTTTCCCAATCCAGTCCATGGAATATTTCTGACACTTAGCCTTTTAATCACAATTCAGGTAATCTTTGACTTCTGTCTACAAGCTTGGGATTGGAATTTCTGCTGATAAGCAATGTGATTGTTAGAAGAAACCTATGACCGCGCTACTTAGTGACAGCAATTCTAGTACTCCCAGTTGAGGTTGTTAGGCTAGGACAGCATCATTGTTAAATAAGTGCCTCATACTTTCTGCTGCCCTGTTTCAACCACCACCACCACCCCGCCTCCTGCCATCTATCTCCCCCATGTCTGCCCTTTTGACTGACCTGAACTCTGTCACCTACTTCTGCCGGCCTCTGACCTTTGCCTACTGGCCTCTGACCTTTGCCATCTTCTTCCTCCTGGTACTAATCCAGGATCCAGATGCTGAGAGAGGGTCCAGCCCTGGGATATGCATGACAAATGTGGCAGGGTGGTGGAGACTTCTATGCTGAAGGGCCAACTAGAGAAGAGGCACTGCGACAGCGAGACATGATACTGTTTCCAGACAAGGAAGGAAGCTAATGCCAGCGTTCCAGTGAAGGTAGAGGCTGTGTAGGAGTTGCTGGTCAGGGTAGTAGCAGAGGTGGAGAAAATAATGGGGTGTGAGCTTCCTGCAGATGAGTACACATTCTGCAGCTTGTGCTGGAATATCTTCTGGAAAAACTAGCCTGCAGGCTTCAGAGAAGGATAGAGAAAAGTTCAGCATGGGCAAAGCCTACCTGCAAGCTCTCTACTCACACCTGGCCCAGCCTTCCTCAAGCAAAACCTCACAAAAGGCCAGTAATTTCCAATATGCTGAAGCCTGTAGGCCAGTTCTCAAGGAGTGCTCATGTTGCTGACCATTTGTGAGATTTGCAGGAGGAAGGTTGGGCTGAGTTCAAGCAAAGGATTTGTGAGCTGGGCTTACCTCCATCCCTCACTGAAGTCTGCAGACTAGTTTTCCAGAAGCACTTTCAACACAAGCTGCTGAGTGTAAGCTGTGCCTCTGGGAGTCCTACATCCCCTGTTTCCTCCAGTTGTACTGTCATCACAAACAGTTCCCCCCTTCACAGTCTCAACAGTTGCTCAGGAAACTGATGCCTGCTCTCCTGCCTTGCTTGGCAACATACAATATCATGCTTCACTGTCCTGCTGCTTCCTCTTCGGCCACGCCTGATTAGCTTCCTTTGACAGATGAAGCTCTGCTACTCTACTGCACTGATCACACGCCTCCCAGGGCTGCACATTCTCCCAGAGCCTGGATCCAAGAAGAAGAAATTAGTGAAAGTCAGGTGGCCAACATCCAAATTTTGATCATGTGACCATGGAGGTGCTATAATGGCTACAAGTCATAAGTCCATATTTTTCCAGTACTACTGTAACCTTGGACAGCTTGAATTAATGGTTGTAAATTGAGGACTACCTGTATTGTCATCTTAGACTTTGCTTCTTCTGTATTTTCTGCTTGGACAGTTCTGAGGTTTGCTCCAGGTACTTTGGCCTTGCGATGAGTAGTTTGCCCAGAAAGCAACTGGGAAATCATTATTTTCTGGAATAACATGTGACTATTTGATCTTGCTTCCTTTTAGTTATTTTCAACTTGATTATTAGAGCAGTATTTGTCCCTCTTCATAATAAGTCTAGCAACTGACTCTGCCTACTATCTCCAAGGGATTTATCTAAAGAATTAGGACCAATAACTTTTATTTTCCAAGAAATGAACCCACTACAAATAAGAATTTCCATGCTTTCTATTTTTCATTTAGAATGATCAGGGTATACATAACTTTCCAAACAATGTTTCAAAATTAAAAAAGATTAATAGAACAAATCTATATTGCTGTAAATCTGTCACATCAGAATTACTACAAGAGTAACTTTCTCATGGCTCAGTATCTGAATATATCATAACCCATTAGTTATAAGAATTTAACCAATGGAGTGTTTGTCTCCCCAAATGACTTTCTTCAATTTCTGCAAAATAATGCAGAAGGGAATGGTGCTGATACGAATAGAAAATAGAAACCATTATCTCAGTGCTTCCTTGATATTTGATCAGTGGCTAATCAACTTGTGCAACACAAAATCAGAAGGACATCCATTGCCAGAAAGGCACTTACTCTTAACAAAGGTAGATGGAATTACAGAATAGGAAGCATTTGCTTAAAAACTTGCATATTTAAGTTTTCTGTGGCCCAAACGTTATATACATATAGATGTACTGTATTTACCCAGAAAAGGTTTCTCAGAACAGATTTACCTTGCCATCTGTGGTGGTATTGATCCTGTAGTGGTAAACACGTCCCTCGTACCTGAGTGAGATTGACAGCTGTCCTGGACTGCTCTCACTTTCTCGAACAAGGAAGCTGCCATTAATGAGGCTGCTCAACAGATATTCAGCTGCACTGCGTGATACTGGTCCATGATACCAGGAATGCTTCTCCAGGCTGTTTACTGGAGTGATGTAGTTACTTGGCACCCATCCTTGTCCATTTTTGGAGCGTACTTCACTCCATTCACCATTTTGATTGTAACCCAATACACGTAGCTTCTCACCTAAGACAAAGAGAAGACTCCAAATAGATAAAATGGGATTTATTTTAAAGTTGGCCTTGTCCTAACCATATAAGAAATAGTCTCACTCACACAAACAGTAGTAGTAGTAACAAGTAAGAAGTAGTAACACCTAGAAATTAAGCAGAGAGTATATCTTTGTATACCATGTTAATGTCCCGAGATGTCTCTCACAAAACAGGTAGAACAGATAATTTCTTTGTATTACTCCACTGTCTCATAAATGAGTTTTACAGATTTTCTGTTCTATAATTTTCACCATGAACATCACCATATTGCACAACATGTTTCCTTAATATTCATCATGGATAATCTTGTTCAATAGGCATTGACCTGATACTATAATACTATTTCCAATGTGTTTAATTTAGCACAATATATGAACCTGCTTATAATGACTTAGTACTGCATGAACCAGTACTGAGTTCATCAGAACACAGATTAAAATATTCTTGCTTTAACATTATGTGTGAACTATACCATTTTGTGCATCTGATATTAGGCTTATAAAAGTGTGAAGCATTAAAAAGTACAGGAATGAGAAAGCATCATAATTATGACCAGTAGAAATCGGACAATGGAATAGCAGATTCAGGAATATGAAAAACATATGCTTGAATTACCAAATGAGACTTAAATTCTGTAAATCAGAAGAATTTTTCAGTTGTACTTACACACCAAAAATACTGAGGATCTCAAATTTATTAGGACAGACAGATACTAGTTTGAATTATATGATCAGACCAAACCAAGTAAAAATCCAAGGTTACAGAAAATTAACTGAATGAAATGATGACAGATTGTTGGGTGCCAAGGTATCGATAATGTGGGATACCAAAGTGAATACTCACAGATCTTTATACAAGAGAAATAAGGTATTTTTTTTGGGGGGGGGGGGAACGGGACGACTAAGTGACATTTGGAATTATTGTAGCCTCTAATATGTCAATTTACAAAATGGTTGTCACAGGAGACTTGCCTAATCCCAAAATGATAACCATAATGGGTATTATTATCTTGAAGCACTCATCTCTGATGTCACCAAATTGGTATTCCAATATTTAATAATTTTACTGCATCAAAGATTTTAGGAAAAAGTTCTGGTTGCTCTTCCGTCGTGGTTGGAGTGGAATCCACAATCATGCATGGTTTCACTCTGAGCTCACTTGTTGGAGGGTCCAATTGGGACCCTAGAGGGGTGGTGAAGAAAGGGGGGAATCGCTTGGAGGGTCAAGGGGAGCCGCATCTCCCCTCCCTGACAGGATAAACCCCCTCCAAAGACAAGTTGCAGCAGTGGTCAAAATGGCCACCACAAAGATGGGAAGTAGTCCAGGAAACTAAGACTTTGCTGGAGAGGTGACATAGAGTGTGAACCAGGCTAAACATATGGATATTAAGGTACCCGGAATTAAGGAATAAAGAACTATTTTGTGAAAGTGTGTAGAAGCAGTGAATGGAGAGAGAAAATAGGAAATTGGAGCTCATAAAACTGGCTTTGAATATTGAAAGAATTAATTTGGAGGTGAAAATTTAGAAGAAAATATTTGGACACAAAAGGCTTGGAATTTTAATTTGGATAATTATTGGATTTTTGGCACTAAATAGGCATAAGTAAATGCTGGAATAGAATGTATTTGAAAAGAAATAATAGCTAATAATTGGAATTGGTGAAATTAACAAAAGTTTTATATAAAAAAGAGGAACAAGTGAAAGAAAGGGTGTAAACAGAATTGAGAGTGCCACCTAATGGTTCAGGAAAAATTTCAGTGACTTTTTGAAAGGTGTCTGGTCCTTATAAAATTTACTTGGAATTTAAAAGAAAATAAGAGGAACTCCATTATAATGAAACAAAAACCCTGAAAAACCCTGAAAAGTGAAATATTAGAATATTACAAAGGGGAAAATATTTGAAGAAATTGCTTTGGAACCATCTGGTGACTTTGGGAAAAACAAATAGAAGGGATCTGGAAACAAAGACTAATGGGCATTGAGTGTTTCAAATTAAATATAAAAGATGCTGGTTGAAACAACTTATTGGACATTTGGATTGTATAATTATCAAAGAAAGGGGGGGGGAGAAAGGAGCAGCCTAAAAAATGGGAGAACTATTTATAGAAATGAGATTGGATCTACAAGATATGAAAGAAATGATTAAAATAAATCTGGAAATGTGCAAGAATATATTACAAAAACTAGAAATGGTGACTCAGTTTGAACAAGAACAAAGAGAACCAGAATGGGAGGAGTCAAATAAATAGGAAACCAGTCTTGAAGATCAAGTGGAACAACAGCCATTTAAACAGGGGAAAAGAAGAATGAAAGTTAAAAATTTGTGGTTTGCTGTAATAATGAAAGGGGGAATGGTTCGGAAAGTTAAAGGGAAAAGGCAGAAGAAGGAATTACAGAAGAAAAATTAAAAGAGGGAGGGGGATAAAATAAATGATTTGAATGAGATATGAAGGGAAATAATGGGAAAAAGGAGAAGAGGAAGAACCAGACAAGAAAAAAACAGGAAACAAACAAAAATGAAAAGAAATTGCATAGCTAAGAGGATGAAAGGCAATGGGTAAAAGAATAATAAGGAAGAAGATTCTGCAAGGTAATGTGTTGTGATACTTAAGAACAAGGAATTGAATGAAACATTTTCATAATTAATTGAATATATTAATATTTTTGCAATATATAGATAATTTACAAGGTGACTGAGAGAAAGAGTATCATGCAGAATCTGACTTAAAATATATGTATATGTAATATGTAGTAGACAGAAGAATATTGTTATTAATGTAGAATGAGATAATTATAATGAATTAAAGGGAATAAATGGAGGTAAAGCACAAGGCAAATAGGTGGTAAGGTCAAATTAACAACTAAGGGGGACAATTTTATAATTAACAGAATAAGGATGGAATTATTGAATAATAAATAACAGTATGTAATAAAATTGCAAATATGAGATAAAACTATTATGTATAATGAATATAGAAAAGAAATAAGAATCCTAGATAATATTGTAAAGCAAGATATGAGAATATTTTAAGAAAAATGAAATAAGCTATGAACTGAAATTTGATAAAATAGATTTAATGACTAATATTTGGGAATATTTAAAAGAAAATAGAATAAGTAATAACGTGATATGAATTTGAACAAGAAAGGATAAGTAACTATGGTCATGTTTGTATTGAAATGTAAAAACTTGGAACCACACTGCTCGCCAAAGGAGATGTTTTTTTAAAATATATATATAAAAACAAAAAAAGAAATTGAATAATTACATTATTATGTATGATTAAATAATATGGTGATTGGCATTAGAAGAAGGTATTGATGAAGGATCAAAAACAATGAAGGATCATAAATTATTATAAATATGTGTATCAATATTAGAATTATAAGTGTGTTGAATATAAGGGATGTGATTAATGTTGCTATTTCTGTTTGCACCAAAATGTATGATGATTAGGTGCCACACTGTTTATGTATTGATGATTATAAGTAGAATAAATGAAAAACTTGATTAAAAAAAGATTTTAGGAAAAAGCTCCAACAGAATAAAAAAAAATCCATGCATCAAACTGGTGGCCTGCGGGCCAGATGCATCATGTGCAGGCCACACCCACCCCAGCTCTGCGAAGGGGGAAAATGTCACAAAACTTCACATGAAGGCAACGTGATGCCGCAAGTTTGACACCCGTGTCCTAGAAGTATGTAAAGATAACCTGGGGCTTAAATACTATCTTGATATAGTGTCTATATATCAGGAGTTAGAGAGTGGATAACCATTCTGCAAAGTAAAAAAAATTTTTTTTAAGGAGTGGGGAGGCAAGGCAATTGTGGCTGATCATAGTGAAAAGAGCAACAAGACTAAGAATAGCAAGAACTGAGTAATCAAAGGACCACATGTGCAGACCACATGGCGAACACATGTGCAGATTCAATCTTGATATGAGAAAGATGGCAAAATGTATTTTTTTAATAAAGAACCAAGAGAATTAGACCAGATACTAACAGGGACGGATGAAAAACTAATGAAGAAAATGTATAACTATTTATTAAGTATTAAATTGGAAAGTGAGCAAGTAAAAGAAACAATGATAGCTTGGGCTATGAATTTTGGATATACAACAGAATTGAATAAATGGCAAAAGTTCTGGGATAGAAATGTTAAATTAACTATGTCAACTGCATACAAAGATAATGTGTATAAAATTAGTATAAAATAGATGGCATTTTTCACCAACAAAATTGGCAAAGATGTTTTAAGGACATGTCCACTAAGTGTTGGAAATATAATCAGACACCTGGTTTATATTATCATACGTGGTGGACATGCCCAAAGGCAAAAAAAAAAAATGACAAAACACGGTTGGAAAAAATGACAAAACAACACATAGATCTGAAACCTGAAATATTTTTGCTGGGCATCTTACTGGAAAAAATATGATAGAGGGAAAATATATTTGATTTTACATGATTTTACAGTTTACAATTCTGCAGCTAGAATTGTTTTTGCACAAAAATGGAAAAATGAAGAAATCCCACCAGATGAAAACGTAATTAAAAAAATATTAGAATCTGCAGAGATGGATAGATTAACATTGGCAATTAAGGAAAAGGAAGAAACTGAATATTTTCTGACATGGTTGGCTAATAGAAACAGAAGCTGAAAACATGGAAATGTAAGAAAAGAACTAATGTTATAAGAGAGATTTGTTAAAATGATAAGCAAACATTATTTACTGTTCAACTGAAACTGAATTTTTTATGGGTTATAACATAAGAATAACAAAACTTTAATAAAAAATACTAAGAATATTTGCCTGGAGAGAATGGGCAAAGGATACAACTATGATATATATAGCTTACTGCTAAATCATAGCAGGCCTGTCATCCAATGCAATCTAGATGGAGAACTGCTGTTATGCCTCATTTCTTGATTCGAAAGTTGTTACACAAAAAGCTTCAATGTGCTCTAGTAGCAAATTAAATAGTACACTGTCACAGAGAAAATAATTCAATTTCTAAGAGCATGCTTTAACAGAACAAGTTAACAACTGACAATGCAAATATGGAATAATAAATGTATTCCAATGTTATTTCTCTTAAGTGTCTTGTAGATTTGAGCAAAAAATTAATACAGTATAAGCCATGTTTGTTGCTTACGCAATGAATCTGAAGTCATCTGAAGGAAACAGAACTACTCTTTCACATATGTACATCAAATTCACGGAGTTCACTTTGAAATTCAAAGTGTTCTATAACCCTGGCACATAATTCTCTTTTCTGACTAGATCAATGAAATTCAAGGTTTTACATACGATTATTCATTTTGACACTTTAGTAATAGTTGCCTATTTTTGACCAATGTTACAAATCACATTATACAATACTATTTTAGATAAAAATATTTTCATAGTTTAATGAAATAAAATATTGAGCTTGGCAAATGTAATTTTTAAATCAAATGTAAATAAATTTTGGGTTGATTTCATTTGCCAAGAAAAAGAAAAGAAATAAAAAGGAATATATTTTCCTACATTTAAAGACTCTAAGAAAGTGCAATCCCCTCCCATTTTGATGAAAAGCTGTAAGATATATTTAGTTCATTGCATGCTCAATGATTTTCCCACATTTGATAATCCTATCATTTCTGCGCCCATCCACTTTTCCTATAATAATCACTGCTCTGGCATTTTCAATAAGTACATTTTATTATTACTGTTACTATTAATGCATGCCAAAGTTTTGTTTCGAATTACATTCATATGTGCTCTCATAGGCATAAACAGGAGGCAATTATGTTTACCTTTGGTGATGCTGAGTGTGTTGTCACCACTTGCTACAAAATCATAAAGTGCAACAAAAAGATTGGGGTCACTCTCAGTGGCTCCTAGAAGATTCTCCTTGGAACTCCACCTGATGGCTTCATTCAGTGCCTGTGGTTCAGTGTCACAACCAAAAGGGCGGTGGAGAGCCTCTGAGAAGAGAAGAGGAAGGGAGTGGAGAGGAGAGGAGAAGAGAAAAAAGAATTTTTTTCTTTTCTTTGAAATTTAATAATATAGTGAATGTAATCCTGAATGGCACATAAAAATCAAGTTTAGATACAATTTCATAATCAAAAGACTAGCAGAAATAATATAAAATTTGAAGTCTTCTGCTTAAAAGGATTAGAACTTTTCATCTCACACGTGCAAAGCTTCGTCAACAGGAACGTTGTTAAGCACATGGAACAATGGAATGGACAAGAGGATTACCGAGTTGTTCTCTTGATCTGCACATAATCAGTAGCATCTAGCATCCATTTGCTTTGCCAGCTAGTGAAGCTCCATCAACTAATGAAACAAACATTGAAAACCAAACTGAATGCCTGAGAAAATGCCATTAACATCTGACCACAATCCACTTTATATTATCTATGTGCGCACTCTTAAGAGACATACACATATTTAATTGTACTAGATCAAGAGTCAATATATTATTTAAAAAATAGTATGTACAGCTAGACCATGCTTACTAATTGTGTCATTCAGTTTGTAATGGAGTTAGCCCATTATGTTAATATGTTGTGATAGTTGTAAAATGGGCTGGTCACATTACAAGCTGATTTTATGATCTTTTTTTTCCAGCAGACATTGGTCTGCTATGGGCACAGTTTTGCCATAAAACAGAAGTGCTGGTTTTCAGCAAAACTATCATAAATCATGGTCATATGACTGTGGGATGCTGCAAACAGTTGTAAATGAAGCCATGTTGCACAAGCGCCTGAAGTTCGATCATATAACTGCAGAGGGCCCCCAACTGTTAGAACTTTGAATCTGGGTCATACGTCCTATTTTACAAGTATGTCATAACTTTGAATGGTTGTTAAGTCAAAAACTACCTGTACTGATTATATCTTATCACATGCCATCTCTTCTAGTGGCTTTATGGGGAGATAGGATAGCTCCTCGATGGAGGACTAAGGTCTACCAACTGAAATCAAATGTAAAAAACAGTGCTCTTTTCCCTCATCCTCCTAATTCTGAATTCTTGGAGATGATCCAGAAGGTAACTGAGACAGCAAGCAGAATCAGAATGGTTGTATTCCCTTCATCCCAGATTTACCACAGGTCATCAATAAGACTGACCAATATAGTTTTAGTTTAACCTCCAATTAAAATTACAGGCACTTTGTGTAATAAGAAGCAAAAAGATTGCAATAATCTCAAATATCTCAATGATAAATCTCTTTCTTTAATCTCTTTTAGAAATTCTCACAAATACGTAACAATCTCTTATAATGGAAAAATGTAAAAAGGTCTTAATAATTACAACTGAAACGAATGTTTCATCAAATGTATTACTTTCAACCATTCTCACCAATTACTAATAAAAAGATGGCAAACTGCCCACCCTCCTTTCTGAGCCAGTAAGATCCCTGTAAATCAAACTTTAATACACTTTTAATCCTTTAAAGAACTTCAAAAGAGAAACATACATTTTTACACAGTGATAGAATAAGAGCCATGCAAAACATTGTTTCTCAAGAATACCTTTCAAATCAAGAAAATTGGAAGTAGACACCTCTTCAGAAAAGGAGCATAGTTGTTCATCACACTCTCTGTCAAAACTACTTGACTGAAGCACTATCTCCACAATCATGCTGCTTCTTACAGAAAACCAATCCAACCACTACCCCAAATTTAAAAGTCCTCCTGCAACACAGCATGCTATGCACATTACTGAAAAGAACAGGGGCCAACAGGAAAGGCAAGACAGTTGGTGTGGGAGGGGAAGCAATGAGCGGAGCATTCTTTTTAGCAACTGGAAACAGGAGACATGGAACTTTTCCAACTGCTAGGAAGCAAGGAACAAATTCTATGTTCAAACATTTCTGAAAGTGATAGGATAAAACAATGAAATTAATTCATAGTTTAGAATAAAGATTGCTGAATAGAAAAGATTTTTCCTCCTTAGATGACAGTTAACACAATATTTTTCAGTGTGTATAAAATTAAATCATGATTTTGGTGTGACCTCTTCATGAGTTACTAGTTTATGTTTTTAGAAAAGGACAAATGTCCAATACCAGCTGTCAAATTTGCTTGGCTTTCAACTTGATACAAGATTGCATTCAGACAACACAGCAAGCCTGGCTTATGGCAGAACTGTAATTTTTACCCATTATTTTGAGCTGTACATCATGAATATTCAGGGCAGGTAATCTCCATTGATGACCACAATAATGCCTAGAATTATGGCCATAAGTCATGCTGACTATTAAGTGGATCATCATGTGCCCAATCTATATGACTTTTTTTTTTGCCATGGTGGTTAAGCAAACATAGCAGTCATAAAGCGAATAGCATGGTCATTATGCAAAAGCCACAGGCGTTATATGAACTCATTGTTTGCAATGGCATTTTTTTTGCCAGAAACCAGAAGTAAACACTGGTTTCTGGAAAAAAAAAACTATAGTAAATCATGGTCATATGACCACAGGACATGGCAAATGGCTAAAAATGAGAGATAGTTGCCAAGTACACAAAATGCAATCATGTGATCCTGGAGGGAGGATGCCAGAACTTCAAATCTGGGTCAGAAGTACCATTTGGGGGAGTCTGCCATAATTTCAAATGGTCACTAAACAATTGTTGTAAGTTCAGCACTACCTGTAACTGCACTGTTATTAGTGTCTATATTTTTAGAGGAGATTGTTGGGAGAGTGCTTGGTGCTTACCACAAATGGACTAACTCTTTTCAGTCTAGGATCAAGCCAAGGTACAGTACTGAGATGGCATTGGTTACAGCAGATGACCTCTGGAGGGCATAAGATGGGCATCTATGTCTCAGTGTCTTTCAATACCATTGACCAAGGCATCTGGTATAATGTCACTTTTTCCAGTGCCATTGTAACTTTGAACTGTCATTACATGAACTGTTGTAAGTGAAGGACTATCTGTACTGTTATTTTCAAAACAGCTACATCTCTAAATGTACTTTCCAGTGAAGGCAGTCCATTAGAAGTTATTTTAAGGAAATATCCTTGAAAGGATGACCCACTTGGTCACAGGTTGTCTAGTTAACATTCAAACTTTCCTGACATAAGGCCTAACTATCTCAGGTCTGTCTATGTCCCTTAGGGCCTGTCCCAGTGATGGGATTCAAAAACCACCAGTTCGGTGGGCGCGCTTTGTGTACGCGCACACACTTAACATTAATTCACCCTCATTTCCAATATCTGCTGAATATTCCATACCTGGCTTTACTTCAGGACAAAGGGCACAAATATGTTCAGCAGCTTATAACATAGCAAATTAAAACATTACACATTCTATCCTCTGCAAATAAAAGAAAACATCCACATTCATCCCTATGCAGGACATATGTCATCGATCATTATTTTAAGAACCTTCCTCCCACACAAAATGAAAGCTAACTTGACTGCTATTACATCACTCCATCCTTTGGTGTAAGTGGAATGCCATAAAAGACTTATCAGCGGAGTATCAGCTGTTTGTCTTGAGAGGCCCCATTAACATTTGTCTCTACTACACCTGTCTTTGCAATTTACCAGTCTTACGATTCAGTTGTCTATACACTCCAAGAAGAATACCAAAAAGAAAACCGCAGGGCAAACAGAGCAAAGTCTCTGCTTATTTAGTTGTTTTATACCCCCACCTCTTAAGAAATCAATTACATCAATCATTTCAGAAATATAAAATCTTTGTGAAAGCAACCTTTGACAACACAGTAAACAGCATACTAGAGTTATTATTCTAATAGGACACAAACATTACACCCACATCTTTACTCAAAGTTGCAGGGACCAATGTAAATCCTACTATTTTTTCCTACCCTGGAATGACCAGAAATGTAACTTAGAATCATACAAATAATTGTGATAATACAATAAAAAACATAAAATAATTAGCAATGTTTTGCTAATTTTAAACTTTACTATACTTTTGCACATCCTCCAAGTCTAGCTGTGCTTCCTCAATGTGTTGGTGGGATAAGTAAAGAATGGTGGGAAGAGTATATATAATCCTAGTAGAATCACCCAAGACCTGAAGATCATCCCAACTGCCCAGCTAAAGCAAGCAGCCACTTATACTTGAGCCAATCACTCTCTTTCAGCCCAACTCACCTCCCAGGGTAATTGCTCTGGAGAAAATAGGAGGAAGAAGATGTATTAGATATGTCCATGGCCATGAGTTATTTGTAAAAGTAATAAAGATGGGATATAAATATATAAATATTGTATTCAGCAGCAGCAATATATGAAGACACTTGAGGTACAAGGACATTTTAACAGCTAAAGCATATTTCATGTTTCATCTCAAAGGCAATGAGAAACGAACACAAAGATCTCAGCACAGAAGTTAAAGTATTTCAGGCAAATATTAGACAAGAAATTCAGATGCAGGTTGCAAACTCAAATTGCTATACTAGAGGACATCAATGGATCAAAAGTAACTAATTCAAAGAAGATCACAGAAAAAAGGAAGGAGAAATTTAGTAGCCTCTAGTACTAGAAGATGAAGTTAGACCAGCATGCTGGTCACTACAAAGTAGGAAGGCTACAATAACTGATAGAATATCTATAGTAGGAGTGTCAAACTCAAGGCCCATGGATGTGCTTAAATCTGGCCCATGGGGCTGGCCTGGAAATACCAAAGGAGTGGCTTGTGGTGCCTCTGCGGCCCTCATGCAGCCCGTTTTTGGCCAGCAGAGTGCTGCTGGAGGGCTCCAATTATGTGGTCTCAAGTAAGTGCCTGATCTGGTTAGAAAACAAGCAACATCCTATGTTAATACTACAGTTTAATGCCAGATTTTACATACTGTAGGTCCATTTAATCTACAATCAACAATCTATAATTGACAGCCATTTCTATTTACTATCCTGGAAATTTACCTCTGCTGTTAGGTCTTGTATTATCATGTTATTTATGTTATTGTATTTTTATTATTAGTTGAATAATAAAAATACAATAG